AAGGATGCAGGCTATAAATAATCACACATTCCTAGGAATGTAAGCTCCTGCTTTCCTAAGAATCCTCATTATGGATTGAGCACTTTAATATATGAGGCAGAATCTGCAAATTTGAAACTCGATTTAACAGAAGTTTTCCCAACTTTCTATAATAATAAAAAACCATTCCTTTGAATGCGTTTCTGGAAAATTCCTTTCGGAAAGTGAGTGTGACGAGTTGGCAGAGCAATGACAGGAGATGCTCCTGGCCCACGCCTTCTCTCTGTGATGGTGGAGGACAGTAAAAGGCCCTCCACCAGGGCAGCCACATCAGAATCTCTGTCTCAGCTGGAAGATGCAACGGCTTTTGCTTTCTGTTCTCTTCTTCCTTCCTTCCCTTTTCTTTCTCTTCGCGTCCTCCTTCAACCACATTGCTGGTGGTACATTATGTTACTGTTTGCGATATCTGCAACCCACCCCTTGCCCTGTATACGCAGCAGGGCTCTGCAGTTAGCGTTAGTCCACAAGCTGAGGGAGTGAAGCAGACCACATCTGAGCAGAACCCTCAGTAGCTGGTTGACAGTCTGCCGTGAGACCAGCCGTGTTCCTGAGAGGCTGCTGGGTCAGGTAGGAAGAAGTGTGGAGAAGAGTCATGGCTAATGTGGGTGGACATGTAGTACGGGTGAAAAATACACTTTCTTGTGCAGAACTGCAAAAGGCACAGAGACTGTGTTACCACAGAATATCCCAGGGTTGTTATGAGGAGTAAATGATTTTAAAAAGACTAAATGAATTATTATTTGTACAGGGCTTAGACTAGTGCCTAGCAAATACCAAATACTGTATTAGTGCTTGTTAAAGAAATCCCTGTGTATGTGTGTGTGTAAACAAAGTCTAGGAAGGTATACAATGAAGTATTAAAACTGATTTTAAAATTTTCTTTTTGTTTAGCCACATCATCTAGTTTTTCTTCAATACAAATATATTTCTGGTGTAATTAGAAAATCTATTCAACAACTCCTAACTACTTTGCACTGAGAGACTGTTTCTTAACAATTGTAATTTAAAGAAATGTATTGCTTTCTTTATTATGACTTCATTATATCACTGCCACAGGAACGCATCTCTAATTTTATTATGAAAATCAACAGGAAAACAAGTGTCAGTGTGTGGAAGTTCTATTAATGGCAGCTTTCTTGAACCATGGAGTGGACAACACCTGTAGCCAAAATCTTGAGAATGAGACGAAATGTTTAGTTATTCACCTGTTACTGCATGCATCATTCACCTGTTATTGCATGCATCATTCACCTGTTATTTGCATGCATCATTCACCTGTTACTGCATGCATTATTCACCTGTTATTTGCATGCATTATTCACCTGTTATTGCATGCATCATTCACCTGTTATTGCATGCATCATTCACTTGTTATTGAACGCTTTATTCACCTGTTATTGCATGCATTATTCACCTGTTATTTGCATGCATGCTCTGAAAATGGTTTGATTTCTAATGTGACTGAAATTTGTCTCCCTAAATAAGATCAAGTTGTTGAGTCATTAGTAATTATACCCCTGCTTCTCTGAGCCAGACTCAAAATCAATGAAAGATGAGCTCTGGTTTCTAATTTTACTACCTTGGGGAAGACAGATCAGTGAGGAGCAGCTTTGCTTTTGATGGACAAGGGTACGGGTGAGACCAGGTCACTTACTGGGATTGTTGTCTTTGCAACAACCTTCCTGCTGACTGCATCCAACCCCTTTTAATTTGCCCTGGTTGAGAAGGAGCCTTGGATTTGCACAGAAAAATCACGATCCAAGAGCAATCATTAACACCCATATCTATGACTAGCCACAGCCATCCCAGCTGGAGAATTCCATGCCTGAGAACAGTGGGGTCACTTCCTTTTTTATTCTCCATACTCACCATGTGGGCTTTTTTGGGGGGGCACTTTGAGTCACCTGGGGAGAAGCGAGAAGACTCCTCTGGATGGTGGGCATCCTTTAACAGGTACTCAACTCCAGGGAAGTTAGGAAGCTTCCCTCAGGTGGGCAAGTCTAAGAACAGGAGGACAGATGAGACTAAGTGAGGGGGAGGGGGAAGAGCATGTAAAAAGCTTAAGGTAATGGCATCAAAACCGTCAAATAATAATAGATAAAACCTCTATACTGAATTATAAATTCAAAATTATAAAATATTGCTGAGAGTAATTAAAGAAGACCTAAATACATGAGAAGATATATTATGTTCATGGATTTTAAGACTCAATATTATTAATATGCTCATTTTCCCCAAATTGATGTAAAGATTCCAGGCAATACCAAAAATCCCAGCAGGCTTTTTTTTTTTTTTTTAAATAAATTGATAATCTAATTAAAAAACTTATATGGAAATACATGGATCTAGCACAACTGAAACAATCTGGAAAATGAAAAATTAAATTGGAAGACAAACTACCTAATTTCAAGACTTACCATAAAAGCTACAGTAATCAAACAAATAGATTAATGGAACAGACGAGAGAATTCAGAAATAGACTCATTCATATCCATCAACTGAGGTGCCAAGTCAACTCAATGGGAAGAATAAAGGTTTTTAAACAAATGGTGCCAAAACAACTGTATATTCTCAAAACCTACCTACCTCTATATGTGAATAGCTGGTGGGAATATTAAATGGTATTATCACTTTTGAAAATTGTTTGGCAATTGACATTCATTTATTCAGTAGATTTGAGATGGATCATAGACCGAGATGTAAAAAGCTAGAACTATAAAGTTTCTATAAGAAAACATGGAAAGAATCTTCATAACCTTAGTGTAGGTAAGATTTATTAGAGAGGACACAGAAAATATTAACTATAAAAGAAAAAAAAAGATAAATTAGGCTTCGTGAAAATTAAGACATTCATTATGAAAATGAGTAGGTAAGCCACAGACTGGGAAAAACATTCTCAATATATATACCTGACAAAGGACTCATATCCAGAATATATAAAGAACTCTTATAAATCAACAATAAAAACTCCAAATGACCTGATTTTAAAAATGCACAAAAGACTTGAAAAGACACTTTATAAATGATGCTTAACATCACTAGTCATCAGAGAAACAAAAATTAAAACCACAATGAGATGCCATTTCACATCCCCTAGAATGGTTAAAATAAAAAAGACTGACAATATTACATGGTGAGAGTGTGGAGACCTGGAACTTGCACATATTGCTGGTGGGAATATTAAATGGTATGACCACTTTGGAAAATCGTTTGGCAACTGACATTCATTTATTCAATGACCCAGCAATTCTACTACTGGGTATTTATCCAAGAGAAATGAAAACACATGTCTACAAAAAGACTTGTACAAGAATATTCATAGCCTTATTTGTAATATCCTTAAAGTAGAAACAATCCAAATAAATGCCAACAGGAGAATGGATAAACACATTTTGATATATTTATATAATGGAATACTACTTAGGAATAAGAAGAAACTATTGATACACATAACAAAGTGGATATTTCGTAAAAAAATACTATGTTGAGCAAAAGATGCTAGACACAAAAGACTACATACTAAATGACTTCATTTATATGAAAGACAAAAACAGGCAAAACAAATGTAGGGTGATAGAAACCAGAGTGGTTGCCTTTGGGGTGGGGGAGACCGAACAGAAAGGGACAGGAGAGAACTTTCTGGGCTGATGGAAATAGTCTATGTCTTATTTCTGGTGGTGGTTGCACGGGTATAAACAGTCGTCAAAACTTCTCAAACTGAACACTTAAAATCTGTTATTTTACTGTCTGTAAATCATACCTCAGTTAGACAAAGAAAGCACAGGAAAGAAGAGCACGGCGTGTTCACAGGTGCAGATGACTCAAATACTTGGGGCTGGGGGTTAATTCTTTCCTTAACCCCTCCCCACCATAAGATATTCCTGCATTTTAATCCACAGTGATGAAACAGTGATTTATTGAAGTCATTTCTCCTCATGACATGTGTCAGGCAGGGATTGAAAACATCAAAAGTGATGAAATACACCTCGTCTCAAATGGAATCACCTAGGACATGTACAAGTTACACACTTAGCAGCACGTGAAAAGGGACATGCCCTCTGTCTTGAGAAACTTTAGCTGGTAGAATACAGAGAATTTGGCAGGGAGAACTGTTCAAATCAGCTTCCAAACTCTGTACTCCTCCCACCGCCAGTGCATTACTCAGTGAGATTTACCAAAATAAATAAAAACATGATTGATATCTGAACAACAAATCCTGTGACCACATATTATGACATAAAGAACTTAACTAATTCATTCATCTTTCTCCTCTAGATGATTTACCTCCACAGGCAAGGCACTGTGTCTCTTGCAACTCATCTTTGTATCCTTAGAAGAATCTAGGCCTGGGTCTTGAAAATAATGGATTCTCAATAACTATTTATAGACTTGAGTTAGTTAATCAATGTATTTACTGATTAGTTAGAATTTATGTCCAAATTACATGTTCCCATAATGGGAAATTTACTGCAATTATTTTATAATGTCTTCATATAAAATGTTTGAACCAGCAGTGATCTCATTTGGGTAATTTACGGAAAATATATTTAAAAGGAGTATACAGAATGATATGCAAGTCCAACTCACTCCAGCTTAAAAATTTAACCATACTGTAATTACCTGACTTGATTTTTAAAAAAATTATAGAAAAAGTACAATTGTTAACAATATAAAAAACAACCCACCCCACTGACTCTATAGTTTTGTCTCCATTTGAACATCTAATGATCACAAAGGCTGCAGGTACACTGTTTTGAACTGAACACCACATTGGCAAGGTCAGTGACACTGTGAACTGAGAAGGAATGGTTACTCCAGTGATGGGTGCTCCACCGGCGAGTGTTACTCTGCTGGCAGCCGAGACTTGGGGAGTCCACCATGGACTCAGCGGTCCTTCAATCGCACATTGTAAGAGCATTTGTGATGCTCTGCAGGCAGCCTTTCTGCCAAGATTTTCCCACTGCTTTCCTTCCTGAGAACAACAGGTTCAAGATGGCTGGTGCTGGTTCCCAGCTCCGCCAAGAACCTCCTGAATGCCACTGGGCTTTCGTCACCCAGTCGGGTGGCACAATGTCAAACGTGATGATCTCCTAAATGGGGACTCCCACAATCATGTTATTTTTGGGAGAGCAGCTCTCTGGCTCCATGGATATCACTTGAACAGAGTAGCCACGTTCTTCTGCAGCTCTTGCTCGATCCAGATCCACCAGGCACATGCACTGCTTCCCTGAAACACAGGAAGGGGTCATGAGACTTCAGGCTGTGAAGGGACCCTGTGCAGTGACACGTCCACAAGTACGGAGAATGCTGTCTGCCCCTAGGTCGTGTTCAGTCTCTCTCAATTTAATTCTTGATCAGTGTGGAGAGAAGACAATTACAAACATCTGCTAATAACTTAAAGAATGTTAACATTTTAAATATATTTATAAATAAATCTCAAATAAACACTACAGATTCTATTTCCCACTTTGGTTAAAAATCCATTGAAAGACTTTTTCTCTTCATGCCCTATGAAAACATATTATCTGTAATATCGTGAAAAAAACCACATCTGTCTTTAAGAATATCTAAAATAACATGCAAACAAGGAGACACCTGCAAAACATCTTACATTTGCACCTGGAGTTCTTAGAACAATGAAGAGATGAGAAATGGAAAATACTTGAGAAAATTCTCAACTGTGCTGATCATTTCAGGTGGATGTCTTAAGTGTAATATAATTTTCAGAGCTCCTGTACCCCTATGAAAATTCAACTGGCTTTGTAATCTTTGGGAAACAAAAGAGGAAACCTGACTGGCAGGCAGAGCAGGTAATTTGTGTTCCTTTGGCGAAGGCAAACTTCTACTTCAGAAGTAGCTGGGGCTACAAGCAATGTGGGGTTGAATACAGTCAAAGCTATGGTTTACCTTTACACCTTCCATTTCTTCAAATTCAATACATAACCTCTTCATCCTCTTGGAAAAAGGTTACTGACTATGCAGAACTTCATTCCATTTTTCCATCAGTAATTATAATAATGCCTAAACATTTTTAAATGATTTATTTGAATGACAGCACAAACTGCTAAACTAAACCAGCCTCAGAAGTGAAGACAGGTAACTGACACAAGGAACTCCTTCTGTGGAAGATGGAAGAATCCTCACAGAAAAACAGCAGAAGGTGAGATCAGTTGGTTAAGAACTGGCAACGAGAGATTCAGACTTAAAATATTTTGTACATTTTCCTTAAAAGGCCTCATGCCAAAAAGGATAAACTGTGTTAGCAATGATATAAAAAGAAATGTCTACAATTCCATTTTGGCTAAATCACCCCTCTTCATCAACAGCCCTATGGCTGACATTCTTTTTTTTCCTTAAAATACTGTTCTTCCTTTAAGACATCTATAAATCCCCCCCACCCACTTTTCAATTTAAATGAAACATTCTGTCAGAACGGGATGCTCTGCATTCCTTCAGCACCCACCCGGGCGTGCACTGCCGCTCATTTGCCCTTGGCTTTGATCCCAGTCCAGTTAACTTCTCCTTTTCCAAGATAGAAAAGAATCTCATGTTTTCACATGTTGAAGAAGTGTCTTTAGAACTGAAATTCAGTTGTTGGCATCCACCTTTTGGGGCCTGGAAGCTTCCTAAATGTTCACAGACAAAAGCGCACCCTGTGCAGTACAGATGGAGACCTGTGATGGAGTCTCTGACTTTGAACTGACCTTCCCTCTCTTCCTGAAGTGACCATGCCAAATGCTCCTCCTCCTCGACCCTGTCTACTTCCCTTCCAGCCACTCCCCTCTGGTTTGATGCCTAAAATATCAACCATGTGCACCCCCATCCACCATCCCAATTATGTCTTCACCTAATCTATACATATGTAAGTTATACCTTAATGTATATTCACTGTACATTCTACTGTACACTTGACTAACTCAAAGTGTTGGGAACTGGAACAGGAGGAGGAAGAGGGAAAGAGAGGCTGTGGACAGGAAAGAGCAAGCTTTTTCCATAAGTTTATGTCCCAGAGTGTGAGAAAGGGAAGGAAATCACTGTGCCTTTGGGATCAGGTCTCAAATGCCTCTCCAGATGTGGGTATCCTGCTATGATGACTTTGCTTTTAGAGTTTAAAGATAACTATTTCTCACGCAACATGGTCTCTGAATGCAAGCTAATTACTACATCTGGTGCCTGGCCAAAGAAACAGCAATCTGTTTCCAGTATACCATGATGGTCTCCAATGTGTGGCTTTTCTAAATAATTTTAAAGATTAGTGTTGACTCCACTCAATCACCTTAAGCCCTAATTTTGGAACCTAACCTCCCAGTGATGTGACTTCATCATGGGGGGCACTGCAAAAGCGGATCAGTGCTCCATGTCTGAGATCAAATAATTTGGGGTCATAGCTACATCACCCACCAGCTGAAGGATCCTGGGCAAGCTTTTGTCCCAATTCTCTCACATGTAAAATGTAAATAATAGCACATACCCTGTAAGTATTTTATAGAATTTACTGAGAGAATGGATGGACGGCATTTAGCTCAGTGCTTAAATGTGCAATAACCATTAGCTGCTGTTATCCTTCTAAATGTGATTTCTTTTTCTAAAGCAAAGTCTTGGATAAATTCATTACTTTAACTGGAAATGCTATTGTAGGTCTTCCAATTTAGGTAATGTTTAATATTACAATGTTAAATAAATTGGTCTATGATTAATAATATACAAGTATACTTTTTTCCGAGAAAGAAAACATCATCATCCTTGTTTATACATTTTTTAATGCATAAATTTTGGCATGGGTAGTTGATTTTTCCATCTTTATTATTTTCTTCCATGGCTTTTGATAGATCCTTCAGTTTGTAACAGTAAGAAGGAAATTTAACATAATAATTCTGCTCAATGTACAAACATTGAAGACGTATTTAAAAGTATTAATGTTAATAAGAATAGAATAAAATGTTGTTATAGTTACAAAGTCCTTTTCAATATGGATTAAGTTTTCTGGGAAAAACAAGCTTTAGTTTCTCGTTGACAAATGGACCAGTTTTTCCCACATGGAGCGGGTGCATTCACTCCTAGGCGTATTGTACGGAACCTGCTCAACAGCTGCCCCGTGAAAACACCTACCCGTGAGCCTTCGTTGGGGTGGGAGCTGGACAGCTGTCTGATCTGCGAATCTGCACAGAATCATGTGTTCCTGGAAGAAAAAGCAACAGAAGTGGGTTTATTTTAATCTTCTGCTTCAAAATCGTAAAAATAACAAAAAGACTTCGTTTTTCTGGACTTCTACATCAATTGAACAAAGTGCAGCACAAATAGTACTTTTGAGAGAAGGGGATTTTCAGACAATGGAACTCAGTAACTTCTTTCCCTTCAAGTAGACTGCTCGTCAGCTGTAGTTCTTAAGAGCAGACGCGTGGAAGATCCTCAGGGCCATTTAACCAGTTGCTTTTAGCTGAAATGTGGTTCCAATTTGTGATTATAATGTGTTAGAGTAAAAGACCTAAAATTCACTTATATTTTCCCTCTAATAAAGTTTGCATCTCAGGGCCGTGGCTCCAAGACGACGTTCTCAGTGTCTTCTTCCCAGTCCCAGAGGGAAGGGAAGGGCTGTGGGGTGTCACTGTCCGGGCTGTGCTCTCCGGGAATGCAGCGCAGTGCTGGCTACTCCTCTGCTGGTCCCGACTCTTCCTTCGCTCGGCCCCTTTGCGGGGGGGCCTGGCTCTCTCTCCCCTCACTCCAAAAGGCTGCAGGAGGTATATTTAATTCTGCTTTAAAACAAACCGTAAAAATGACCCGAGGGAATGGGGGGCAGATTATTGCTTCTGCTTAACAATTTTAGGAAAGATTGCATTAACGAAAAAAGAAAAGGCTTTAAAGGGACAGAGCTGATGAGTCTGCCTGGCACTCTTCAATCTGCAAGTAGCCATAGGTGAGCGATGCATGGAGTGGAGAGTGGAGCGGGGGTGCCTGCTGTGCACCCAGGACAGCTTCCGTCTCCAGTGTGCACATAACCTCACCTGTCGGCTTAGCAAATGGGCTGAACTCAGAGTCACCACTTGTCCCTTGGTCTTCTGTATGCTCAATGCAAGCCTCCATTTTTTAATAAGGTAACTGAAGTGATTGTGTGAGGTTGGTTCTTTTTCAAGGGTTACCTTTGTCTCAACCTTTATGCGTTTTAAAAAAAACACTTAAACGCTCACTATAAAATTTAGTGGCAATGGGTAGGATACTAACAAAACAGTGCAAATGAATAACTTTTATTAAGCTCCATGAACTGGCATAAACAAAGGGGCAGAAGAATTTAGAATTATATAATTTGAAGAAAAGGCGAGAAAAAAGCATGCCCTTTGTCCTCAGGGTGTTTGTAAATTAAGATTCACTTTAAATAAGGTGTCAGGCATGCACAACCTCAGGGGAGGTTCGTTTCTCTCGTCCAGATAGGTCTCGCCATGTTCACTGGTATCACGTGTGTAGCTGTTCTCCCAGTAGGAGTTCAATTCTGAAAGAGGAAGGCACATCATAGGTGCTCAGGAAAGGTTTGCCAGCTGAACTGAACGGTGGAAAAAAATGCTTCCAAAGACTCTCCAGATATCTGGGCACTACGTCCATTTAGTTCTTCCTTCTGGTCCACCCATCATGGTGAAGAAATACTGAGACACCACCCTGCAGCAGTATCCAAGGGGTTAAGACTTCTGTACAGAGCATTCACACCTGAGACCCTCAAAAGGGCTGGCAGCCAAGCAGATCTTGGGAGTGTGGGAGGAAGAGGAGACAAAGACAAACTGGGGTACCAGTTTGAGTTTTCTGCTCTCTGGAAGAGCCGTCTCTGTCGACTCCAGAATTCTACATTCTTTTCTAGCCAGTGAGACTGTGGCTCCCTACTTCCTCACCGCCCTGGGTTTTTCCATATACCCTCTTAGAATTTGCTTTACCTAGCGTCACTCAAGGAGGGACTGAAAACAAGGGTCTAATTTTTGTTTTTTATTTTTCAATTCATTTTCTAGGTTATTGGCAGGGCCTTGCGAGAGAAAGGTGAGGTGATTTGAATCTTATGAAAATAAAGTTCCTGGGGTCCTAATGTTTCCTGAAAATGCTTATAGTTCCCTAGGATATGAAAACCTTAAATCTAGTAGGCAAAGAAGAGAAACGTCCCGGTTCTGGACGGAAGCACGAACACTGAGGTCTCTCTCTTCTCCAGAGGCATCTGTACGTGGAAGGGTGGGGAGAGGCGAGGGCAGGAGGGGGTGGGAGACAGAGTTGGAGGTGGGCTTTGAAGAGTCACAAAGCAGAGGTGAAGGAGATACAGGTGCCCAGGTGTAGAAATGGACACTTCTGGTCACTGTCCCTCACCATTTCACTGTTGGAAGAAGACGGTAAAACTCCTAGAAGGTGGGGCTGGAATATACAATGAGACCCCATTTTTAGTGAGCCTGTGCAAGTGGAATTAACCGAACTAAGAATCCAAAATAATTTATCAACTTTTAATGGGATTATTTATGTATTTCTTTCAAATGTTATTTCTTAGATTGCATGATGTCACATTATTGATCAATTAATTAGTAGTGACGTTCAGAAAGCTGGAAACGGTTGTGCTCAGATTGGTGACTCAAAACTACGTAACGTTCTGACTTGTGCTGGAGACGATTCTCTGTGCGTCTCGTGTTTCTTCATGTCTTGCGAGCAGAGGCACTGCCTTTGTTCCAGACCAGGCTTGGCAGACTATGGCTCACAAGCCAAATCCAGCCTATGGCCTGTTTTTGTATGGCTCGAAAATTAAGAATGGTTTTTACATTTTTAAAGGAAATTTTAAAATTTCCTTTGTTGTTGGAAACCGACAACAACAATGACAAGGACAAAGTGGAATATGCGGGGGATTTGTAAGAGGCTGGCAAAGCCTAAAATATTTACTATCTTATCTTTTACAGAAAAATTTGCCCGTTCCTGATTATCTTTTCAAAGATGTTTGTATAGTGAACGGCCTTGGAAGCTACATAGTGTCTCCCTCTGGAGAAAGGGCAGGCACGTGTACTTACAGATGAACTCCTAAAACATTTGGTTTCCGGAGCTCAGGGCTCCTCTCCTGAGACGCCACTCCCTGTGCGTGGAGGTGTCATCTGCTCTTCTGTGCTGCCTGTGGGAAGTGGCCTCAGGGAGGCAGTGTAAAAACAATGACAGTCTGGCTACTCCTACTGCCGGGAGCAATAACCGTCTTTTGTCTCTGACTCAGGAGTCTCCCATCTCCTGCCAGCATCCGTGAGACTGCGCCAGCTAACTAGTTAGCTTGCAAACAGGGTGAACTCTCAGACGCTTCACAAATCTTGTCACCTACTTGGAGATTAATATTTATTTACCAAAAAAAATCCATATTAGATGTTCATGAGTAATTCAAATATAACTATCAATGATACACTCCATTGGAAAAACTATATTAGGAAGACATCTAGATCTTTTTAAGGTTACCTTGTAAGATAAAGTTTTCTTGAATTGTTCACTGAAATAGAAAAGAAAAAGAAATTAGTCATCATTTTAAATATCAAAGATTAAGGGTAGAAATAGTCTTGAAGAAACTAAATTATAAAAAATATGTATTTTATCTAAAGAGCATAAAATGTTATTCTGAACTAACAACTATGCCAGTTTGAAAAGTCTTTATAAAAAGACAAGAGCATATCATCAGCATGTTACTAATTTTACAGAGTTTCTTTCACAGATCGCGCACACTATTAGAGGAGCACACCCCCGTCCCTCTTCCTGGCACAGGCACACAGACACAGGCACTTTACAATGCAGGGTTCCTGTTTCTCAGGTGCGCTGGGGCCAACAGATCAGATGACTGCCACTGAAAAGACAGTCTGTTCCTCACAGTTCCCAGGAGGAGGGGCACGCCACAGCACGCAGGGCCGCGTGGGGAAGCACCAGGTCGGTCAGGAGGCCGAGGGAGAGGAGAGGATGTGGGCAGGAGCCTCTGTTATGGGTTCCGTGGGAAGGTATGGCGACGCAGCTGAGCAAGCCTAGGACTGGCTAGTTTAAACCACGTCAGCGGGCTCCGGGGCACAGGGGCCGTCCCGAGTTGTCAGGCATCTGGCCCTGGGGTGACTTGGGCAGGGGACAGTGACCTGGGAGTGCTCCTCCAATGACAAAGGGGGCGAATGTCAGTAAATCTACAGCGATGTAAGAAAGCTGACAGACACTAAATCGAGACTTTAAAATCAGTTTAGTAAGACTGCAGGCTGAACAACTCAAATTAGCATTCTTAAGAACCTTTATAGTGCTAGACTTACAAATCTCTTGATGGGTTGTAAAATATACATTTTGTCTGTGTAAATTTAGAATAAAATGAAATTTCTACTATTGACTAAGTCTCAGATTACATTTTATTTTTTTGCTTTTCCATAGTTCCTTTGGTTTTCTCTCAACTAGTTGCAGATTGTAGTAAGGAACAAAACAATGAAAGACAAAGAAAAAGAACGCTATTATTTGTCCTTTACTTTAAATTACTTAGACAGAAGCCGTTAAGTATAAATTCTAAGAGAAATTTTCTAAGGTTTCTTAAAAGTAGTGATGCAAATGAGCAAGAAGTCTTTTTTGATACAGAGGATGGTATTAAACCCTTGTATATTATAGGATACAAATATGTTCCAAAACTAACATATTCAATCTATTCTATAATGAAAATGATCAGCATTATATAACTTATAAACAACACTTGGCGTTGTGCAAAGAGGAAACGAGCTCAAATCTGAGATCTCATTGCCACTTTATATCAAACGAGTTTTGTGCATTGGTTTAATCCCCACATTGGTGCCTTAGGTAGAACACTCAATTTCACCTTTTTGGAAAGTTAAACTTGGAGGTGTTCTGGACGAAACCGTAACAGCAAGGGCAGGCGACAAAGGAGGCCCGGGTTTTGATGCACTGCTCGATCACCATGTCCGTGGCCACTCCGCACGCATGCAGTGCCACCTGCAAAACACACCCAGCCCTGAGCACCGAGCTCCCCAGTCCCAGCGCCGCTGCCGGGCCTGCTTGTTCTTACTTTGGTGAGGGCTGACCCTCAGGAGGGTTCAGGTTACCAGAACAGTATTCCCTAATGGTTTCAACAGTTCTCGTTTGGACATACCAAAGGACTACTTAGCTATTCATATTGATTAAGAAAATTAAGCAAGATTGAAAGATTACAAACGGAACATTGCAAATGAAGCACAAGATTCATTCAATGGAAAGTCTGATGTGATGTTCAACATGGAAAATTTAATGTGTCTACATGTCTACACCAGTGCTCTTGCTGCTGATGAATGTGGTTCTGTTGTAGCATGCGGCAAGAACACTGGACGGAAACCAGCATTTCTAGTCTAAAACTCTAGTTGGCTGTGTGATCTGGGGCCACTTGAAATTTAACTTCTTTGGGCCTCAGTCTCCTCAACTGTAAGCTATGGTTAACAATCCTGACATATCACAATGCTGTTGCAAAGATTAAATAAAAATGTCTGTGACAACATGTTTTCAAAGGCTGCATGAATAATATGTAATCAGTGTTGTAGAAAACTGATCAAATTATATTTATGTAGCACCTTTTCATCTTTATATAATAACAGTTTTTAACATTGAATGACAAATTGCATGAACTACTTTCAATGGGTTTATTTAAAAATGAAGGAATAAAATTATGGAGTCATGATTAGGGCTTCAATTATTCATGAAAAGAAAAATAACTGTAAAAGTGATTTTAAAACCTGTTTTCAAAACAAATTCCTTAATTTTATCTATACTGTATTACAATCTAAAGTAGACACTTGTGAAAATTATTAGGCTAAATAAAGCAAAATAGGATTCATCAAAGGAAATCAGATATGGGAACCCTGAAAGATGAAGCATTTTGTCAGAAAAATACTCAGATCTCCATTTCATTCTGGACAGATGCAAAAATTGTACTGGATTATAACTGCCCTTTCTAGGGACAGCTCTCTACTTCAGGGTAGGGAGGGGCTTTCAGGGTGAAGAGAAGGAGATTTTCTGGAAATTTCTCGATGTGAAGTATTACAAGCCAGATTCCCCTTTTGAGTTGGAAAACCAAAAGCAATGGTGTCTTGGGAAGAGGAGAGCAAGATCTCTGCTCTCGACCCTTCTCCTGAAGTCTCCCCTCCTTCCAGGCTTACATCAGCTCCACAGACGTCAACAAGACTGACAGCTGATTTGCAACTTACAGCATAAATAAAGAGTTAATATCCCTAATATATAACAAACTTCTAAAAATAAAGAAAAAGCCCCGTAATCTGATAGTAAAATGGGCAAGAGATTTGGGCAATTCATAAACAAAAATATGCAAATAGGCCTTAAACCAAAGTTGTTCAATACTGCTCAAAACAAGAGAAATAAGTCTTTAAACTCCATTAAGATACCACTTATCACCTATCAGAGTGGCAACATCCCAACATTTGACAGCAGTGGGGACACAGATGCTATTGCATGCTGCTGGTGGGAACAGAAACGTCACAACCCTACGGAGGAGGAACTCAGCAATATCCATCAAAACTACATGTGTGGTTTGTGTTCTCACTTCTAAAAATCTGTTCAAGGGTCACAGTGGCAAAAATATAAAAAGATTCATTCATTGAGGCAATATTTGAAATAACAAAGTGGAAACAGGCCAACTTGCCACTGACAGAGAAAATAAACACTAAGGTGGAATAAACACAGTGGAGCACTCTGCAGCTCTGAAAAGGAATGGGGACTATGTCTATACATGACCACGGAGCTATTATTAAATGAAAAATGTCAAAAAATTCTCAAACTATTTTCAGTAATCATCATTGGTGGTTGTGTTTTTTTTTAGGACTCTAACGTGTATAGTGTGAGATAAAACAAGAAATATGTTACTGTCATTAGGAAACAGATTTTTTTTTTTTTAGTATAAGAGAAAGAAGAGAGAGATATGCGATAGAGAAGTGAGGATAAGTTAAAATCCCATAGTCCTGAATTTAAATTGAAAGTATCAGTATGAACCCATGATGATTTTGTTAAAAAGAAGAAAAGTATTGCCTAGCTCAGACCACTGAAAAGCCTAGAAACAAAGACTGAACCAGTAGCAGTGACCATTCCGAGTACCCAGATGGTGGTAATCTAAGTAGCATTTTCCTTTAAAAGAGTTAGAGCTCCATGGAGAAACAGTTGATGCCAGACACGAAGGAGAAACACAGAGATGAGCTGGACATCTTGCTACCCTGAAAGCATGGCCACCATCAAATACTATTGAAGACTCCTCAACAAGACTGAGGAGCCACACGAAGAGGCTCCCACCTGACAGAGATGGGAATATCTGAGCATCAGTGAGAATAATGACTGCAACAGACTGCAGTTTTCAAAGATTATTGACTGATGAGTCAATAATCATACTGAAAAAAACCTAACTGGTCACTTTTGGTAGATAACCAACTCACTCTGAAAACTGGAAAATATAGGAGAAGAATCAAGTTCTATGTGGCTTTTCCTATGTAAACTGATCCTCAGCATAACCAAGTAGTTGACAAAGGAAAGTAAATGAAGCCAGAATGATAAAATTAGAAGAATGTCACCACTTTGCAATCCCTACTGAAATAATGGAGCTGAGGCAACGATCACCAATGCTGCTCACAGCACACAAAAGCCACCAGACAGCGCCTAGTGCCAGAACACACCACCCGTGATGCAGGCCTACCCCAAAGGGAACCTGATCTGATCATGCCTCTGCAATCCTGACCTAAAATATAGGGAACAGGGCAATACGGGCAACAACACGAGGGGGATTCGATCAGCAAAATCCACCTTGTGGGAAACTCTGAAGGAGACATGACAGGGTTATGTAAACAAACTGCAAGGAAAATAAGGAGGCAGGGATGGTGTGGTCAGCAGAAAGATCCCCTAAAGATGTCCATGTCCTACGCCCTGGAACCTTCAACATGGCAAAAAGGATTTTTAGAAGGTCCTTAAGATTAAGGACCTTAAAATAGCATGATGATTCTGGATTACATGGTGGGCTCAACCTAATCACATGAGGCCTTAAAAGTAGAGAACTTTCTCAGGCAGGAAGAGAGATGAGACAGAAGGAAGAGTCAAAGAGATCTGAAGCATGAGAAGGACTTGACCCACCACTGCTGCTTTCACGGTGAAGGCAGCCACAAGCCAGGGAACCTGGGCTGCTCTAGAAGCTGAGCACAACTCCCGGCTGAGCCAGCAAGGGGAAGAGGAGGCTCCGTCCCACAACCACACAGAACTGAATTTCTCCAACAACCTGCATGACCTCGGAAGTGGATCCTCCCTCAGAGCCTCCAGATGAGAGCCACACCAAGCTAACGCCTCATTTTGACTAACGATGCCTGGAACAGAGAAACTAGTTGAGCCCACCTGGATTTCTGGTGGTAAAAAACAAATAACATAAAACTTTCCATCTTAACCATTTTTAAGTGTACAGTTCAGTAGTGTTAAGTCACCTTGCTGTGAAACAGATCTCCAGAACTTTTTCATCTTGCAAAACTGAAACACTGTACCCACTGAACATCTCCCCTCTTCTCCCCACCCTAGCCCCTGGTAACCACCATTCTACTTTCTTTCTATGCATGTGACTACTTTAGATACCTCATATAAGTGGAATCATACAGTATTTGTCTTTTTGTGACTGGCTTATTTCACTTAGCATAATGTCCTCAAGGTTCATCTATGTTGTAGCATGTGACAGGATTTCCTTCCTTTTTAAGGCTGACTAACAGTCCATTGTATGGATAGATCACATTTTGTTTATCCATTCATCCATCAATGGACACTGGTGTTGGTTCCATCTCTTGGCTTTTGTGAACATGGGTGTGCAAATATCTAAGTAGGTACTATTTTAAGATGAGGAAATTGAGGCCCAGAGAAGTTCAATAACTTGTTCCAGGTCACACAACAAATTAAGAACCCCAACTCAGTTTGGGGCCTCCATCCTAGAGAACTCTCTTTACAAATACACTCCTTCATTTTATTCATCTCGTTGGTCCCACTATCTTCTGAAATTACAACACCATAGGGAACTAGCACGCATTCAGTATCTGCTAGATGTCAACATCTTTATAAAGATTTTTTTTTATTTTATCATTTAATTCTTTTTCTTAATTAAATACTTCTGGTAGCACTTATTATCTCCATTTGCACTAACACATCCAAGGTCACCTAGCCAGCAAGCATCCAGATGAACTCTGAACCCAAGTCTGACTCCAAAGCTCACACATCTTCCCATCACATCACGCCATGCCTTCCCTAGCCAGCATCTTTGGAGCTGGAAGGAACCTCAGAGATCATCTTTGTTTAATGAAGAATTTCTGGATGTCACTCTTAGGTTCACCACTGACTTGCGAGAAAAAGGAATGGAATATGTGCTGGTCACAAATAGAGGAAGTGACAAAGGAAGGAAGGGACAAAGATAAATACATCTAATTTTTTTCTTAAACCATTGCTACCCACAGTAATTTGTATGAAATCTGGTTTCTAATTACATTTCAAGCACCCAACCCAGAGAGTTTGTAATATAACACACACCAGATAGATCTGACAACCGTAGAAAGAACATAAAACATAAACTATGAAAATCTAATGAAGGCTAAGTTCTGTGGGAAAACACATGTAATTAGTGTTCAGCTGACATAGCAAACAAGTGTTTCATGACCCAAAGAATTAAAAATTGTGGTTCTCAATAAGTTTCTTATCTATCCCTTTCTCTGTATATACACTGAATCTAATAAAAGATAATTGAAGTTGTAAACTTATCTATTGCCCAAGGTAACGCATATTCCAAAGTAAACATAAATATTTTCTACCCAGATATATGTATATGCTGCAGAATTCATGGACTATAAATTAAGAGCCTTTCCTTTACATTTTCTGACTTCGATTAATCCGTACATCATAAAAGTTCTAAGTACAATACTATCTTATCATGTAGGTCAGCAAAATAA